CACCTCCCACAGCTACCTTTGTGTACTGGGCATCTCACCGCTCACCCAGCTCATCCAGCATGATACAGCGGCAGCATAGCACTCCATCTCAGCACACAACTTCAGAGAACAAGATCAAATTTCCTTCATAGCTGCTATTGTTTTATCCATTTGGTAACTAATTTTCATTGTGTATGCCAAGTTTCAGAGGCCAGTTAAACATTTGGCAACACTAAACAATTAGCAGATTTTAATTTACGTAGTAGTAGTCTTTTGGCAATCACATTGACTTGCAGGAGAACACTTCTTTGCAGTTTATTGATAACACATATATTTCAGACATCTCCTAAAATAAATACTGATCAGTTGCTAGAAAGATCTTTACCAAGAATATTCAGCCATTGCTTCCCAGAATCTACTTCCTGCACCCACAAAGTCTCCGATAGTCTGTTAGCCGTATTAATACCTATTTTACTTCACTGTGTCTGTCCTGGAACTAAATAATTAAATAATAAGGAGAAATGTCAAATAAGGCATTAGAAGACACTAATTTTTGTAGTATCTCTTTTCATACTGTGAATAGGGATTGTTGTTCAGTTGGCTCTTTTAGTTGTGGAAAACTCTGACCCAATGCAACATAAATGTGAGGAAAGCATGAAATGCAGCTCTGTAAATACCCTTCTCTTGTTCTCTTGCAATTAGCTACCTGGAATCTGTTTTAAAATATGCAAATAGAGTAAAATGTAACTTTGATCATAATTATCAGATCGAAGGTCTGGGCTGTGCAGCACACACAGCCTGCCAAAGACCATTTTAAAGACAGTCTCTAGCACTTTTCTAAACAGATCTAATTCTTCATATTAGAGAAGGTGGAAGGGGCTTGTTATTTTGATGAGGAGCATTTTTTATCAGAAGCAGCTCACAGTGGTAGGCAAGGCAGGCTTTCTTGCTTTCACTGCATTTTTATTCATTTTCTTTGTTTTCTTTAAAATTAAACTCCAGTAAACTTAATTTCAAAATGAAACAAAACATTCCCCTAAAGAAAAATCTAAGTATAATTCCAAAGCTTTGAACCGAACTGTCATTTCTTTTTGAAAGAAAACAATGTAATGAATTTTACACAGATGTTTCAATTGAAAGGGCATTTCTTAAAGTAAAAACATCCCCTTCACATTCTCCTTTAGAACAAGTCTGTAAGAACTATGCTTTGATTTCACTAGAAGGTGTTTGCTGTTCTTGGTACAGAAAGGTATATCTACCCCCATGTTTGCCATTATCTGTGGCAAAAATCTATGTAGGTGAGCCTTCTCTACTCCTCGATACAAGGGGATTGTTGGAGGTGACTGCCAGATAGTATCCTTCTGGTTTTGATGCATTTGAGCAAAACCTGGGCAAAAAAATATCCTTTTCCTTGCTGGCACCCCTTGTGTAAGCAGTGCTCAGGAGGGGACTGTTTCCAGCTAAGGGTGTTGCTGAACACTGGGCTAGAGTGCTTTTTTTCTCATAGTGCAAGAATGAGAGGGTGAGCGGGGAGAGAAAATATCCAGTGAAGTTAGCAGGTGGTAGGTTTAAAGACAGCAGAAGAAATAACTTTTTCACACATCAGAGAATCATTATGGCATATATTGCCATTGGATATTGGGGAGGCAGGAAGAGTAAAAATAATTCAAAGGGAGATTAAAACAAGTTCACTGGCAGCCTATACAGCTATCATATGCTAAAGTGTAGAGACAATATCTGGCTCAAGCAGCCTCCACATTCCTGGTTTCTCAGCAAACCACTGGAATGTATCTCTCTGTAATTGCCTTGTTCTGCTTCTCTTTCTCTAAACATCTGCTGCAGGCCACTGTCAGAAAATGCGTGTTGGGCTGGCTGAACTTCCAATCTAACCCACTGTAGCAGTTCTTATGGCATACACTAAGGGGACGAAACTATCTCATCCTGCACACCAGCCACTAAAGCTGACAAGATGCAGAAAGGAGTGCAAACTGCTCCCTAATTAATAGTGATGCAAGAGCAGCTCTGGAGGCACTCTGCCTCCCTAAGACATGACAGCTCCCAGGACTGGCAGAGGAGTGATAGGGGCTCTACACTATCCCTAGAGCATAGCTTGTTGCTTGATGCTATAGTTTAGTACGAAGTATGTAAGTGTATTTTGAACATAGCTGGTGGCAGAAATTGCACTTTGAAGCTGTCTGGTGGATTTATATGCTTAAAGGATTATGAATTATTGCAAACCAGTACGATTTGCAATGTTTTGCTTTCTATCCTACAGTTCCAATTACTTAAGGGCATATTTGATTGTATATGTAGTTAGAATAGGGGTTTGCTGCGGTTATTTTACATTTTCATTACAGTAAGTTAATACAGAGGCAGACCTCAGTCTAACAGGCTCGTGCTAAACTTTGGCAGTATTACTTAACTGAGTAAAGCTAAGTATATGAGTAGGCAAAGAATTAGCACAAATCTCAACAATCAGGCATCTCTAAGGATGGAACCACACCACAAATAAACAAATCTGGAAGGATATAAACCACACTTAATCCTGCTTGAGTGACAACAAGTGTTTATGCCTGAGCCACTCACACAAAACCAGATTTGAATAAACAATTTCTAGGGTAGGAAGCAAAATACATTGTATATAACACTGTCCAAGTACATATGTAAAGACTGCCAGCTTTTCTTGAGCAGTCCACCTGATCTCATCAAAAGCAGTGAAATTCATTTGCATAGAGCTGTTCATCCTGATAGGAGGTGCATGTGGCACGTATCTTGCCATGAAGGTAAGAGAGGATTGAACACATGCAGTGTGAGCCAGGCCACAGAGGGAGACTGGAGAGCTGGGAGAAAACACACAGACCTGTGCTCCACTTTCATTCCAGAGAGACTGAAATCTTGAATCCTATCTCAGGGATCAATTGTCTTTTATCACTACCAACCCTGTGTGAAAATTTATGTCACAATCTCATAGACTTCTCTAGTTTTCACATTAGAACTAGCACAGGGCATATCCATGCAGGTGAAACAAGCAGGACACACTCCAATACACACACCAGAGTTGAGAACAAATGCCGTGGACAGGCATAGCCCAAAGGATCGAACAACTGTGATAATTTTCACAGAGAAAAACCCACTTCATAGCCACTTGGAAGGAGAGGGAATCCTTTCAGATTTACAGTAGGACCTACAGGGTTCATTAAGAACCAAGTTTTTCCAAGCTACCATACATGTTATCTCTATAGCCACCCAAGATATGGGTAGTATAGAGAAGACAGATAGAGTCTTTTCGGAGATGCAAAGTAATAGGGAAAAAGGCAATGAACGCCAGTTGCAACAACAGAAACTCCAGCTAGAGCTGCATGATGAGAGCAGTAAAACCCTGGGTTAGGTAGCCCAGAGAAGATGTAGAGTCTCAGTCCTTGGAGATATTCATATACTCATTGGACAATGCTCTAAACAACCTACTGTAACTTTGGAGATGGTCCTGCTCTGAGTTAGGTGTCGGACTGGGGACCTATAGAAGTTCCCTTTTCCCTAAATGATTCTGTAATGTTAGTAAACTTGTGTCTAGTAAGTGCACTTTTGTAACTAATAGCCAAATGAGACATTTTGTCATTAAAGAAAAAGCAAAATTGGATTAAGCTGATGTTCTTTAAGGAGTACAGAAAAGGACATACGATTACAAGTACAAAACAATTGCTAATGGGGAGGAGGCATCATATTAGCACACAGCTGCAATTACAAAGCATAGTAGTATTTTCCTGAGAGCCTGAAGTAAGGCTGTGCTTACACTTATTTAGCCATGGAGATATAATACAGGTGTGCATGACTGACTGTGCATGGAAACTGCATTGTATGTACAGCAGGGGTTTTGGTTACATTTATGAATGCAGCCATTCTTTTGCATATGTTCCCACTCCAAACCTAATATCCGCTTGCTGAGGATACAGACTTTAGCCTCATGCTTTCCATCACTGATTTATCCAAAAGACTGACCATTATGTAGACAAGGTACTTTAAACACACTCTGTCTAGATTCATACTTTAAGAATGTAAAACCAGATAAAATAATAAAGCACCAAACCGTAAGTTCAGCTGTCATTTGGTCTAGTTTTTATGTGCATTCAACATAATTCTCCTCTGTGCAAGAAAGACTTCAACAGACTGCGGCAAGTTCAGTGGAGGGCCACCGAGACAGATGGGGAGGCCTCCCCAAACTACAAAAGACAGGAAGAACTTAAGCAGTGCCAAAACCCTTATACATTTTCATATAGTCTGGTGCCTCCACACCTACAGACTGCTAGTCAAAGCCTGAGAACCTTTCATAACTGCAGGAGTTTCCCCTTCCATGTCCATATTTCCTTCACCGGTTATGTTTCATATGAAGCTTGGTCATTGGCTCTATATCCATTGCATCTGATCAGAACTGTTTTAGATCACCTCAAAAGACTACAATGACTAACATCATGGTCCTTGGGTGCTGTTACCGTGGGTTTTGCCATTTGTTTCTCCTCCTCTACATAACATCATCTCTTGTCTTCTATCTAAAAGGATTCAGCACAGAGTGGCAATCGCTGGTTTAAAACATTCCAGCCCTGGGAAGGAGTGGGGAGGGTTGCAGCCTCTATGCACAAAGCAAAATCAATAATACAGAGGGGAAGAGAGATTTCCCACTACTTAAAGAGGAATTTCTAGTCTGCTGGGATCAGTCCCTGTTGATTAGATGTAAAATGTATATGCTGAAAGACACTACTGTAAAACTCCAGGAGGTCTCAAGATATAGAGAGAGTGCCACAAAAAGCAAGAACAAAAATCAAGGGATTGTGCACAACTTACTTGCTAAATCTACAGCAAACTGGGAACACTGCCAGACCAAACTGCTCCAATGAAGAGAGGCATTTGCCACAACAAACATTCCACTCCACATCCTGGATCACACAGTTTTAAAAAGACATATTTGAGCAGCAAGTAAAATGCAATGACGGTATCAAATTTAACATCAAAGAGGAATCTTTTAGTACCTGCCAGTCCTTTGAGTGTCAAATACAGGGAGAAAATCAGAGAAGCTAAGGCTCCACTTTTTGCTTTCCACTGTTTATGATGAAATGACTTATTCAGAGGATAGATACCGTGAATATGTGAGCTGTGCTATGACCAGCTGGCCTATTTTGGATTTCAGCCGCAATACACAGATGGAAAGTATGTTTCTAGATTGCACGATTTCTTTTTAAAATCTGCTTTTTTTTTTTTTTCTTTTTCTTTGGTTAAGCAGCAATTACTGAGGTTAAGGAGAAAGTGTTGCAGTTCCTTTGAAGCCTAAAGAGAGTCCAAAGAGCATTCAAACACCATTTTCTGAATGGTTTTTTTCTAAAGACCTGCATATCTTTTGTAATCCTACTGCTGAAATCTCAACACAGGTAACAGAAATCATATGTTGTTTAACAGCTTGCCCTATGGAAAAGGCATGAAAAAAGTCAAAAGATTTCACAGAGAACCATGAAAGCTACCATGTGTATTTGCTGTCCCTGTCAACATGAGCTACATTTAGTTTGGACAGGAGTCTTTCATTATCAAGACCTCAAGGAATATGAGGAGCTGGAGAAAATAGAAAGTAGGACCATTCTAGGTGCCTTGCAGCGTTGCTGGAGTCAAGTTGTCAAAAACAATCTCCCTGTGCACGATCAATTTGCATACAAACTGCACAGGCTGAATCAGTCCTCTCCTCTTATTTGGAATGCTGCATGGCAGCATTTCTAGATTAACTTCCTTTAATCATTCCTGGATCCCAGCACTTTTCTTTCTTTTAAACCCACACACAAAACCTCACAAACTCACTCAGGCTGATGTCTTGTTTCAGATTACGATTGCTATACCAATGCCTGATTTGGGACCAGTGTATTTGACTTCAGTGTTTATAGGGGCATATAATCAAGTAAATGTGGTCCTTTCTAAACATAATGCTAACACACAATTAAACCAGGATGCTATATGTGTTAATGGGAGAAGGAGTAGTTCCAGGTGTACACCCAGCTGATTTCTACTCTTCCTCCTCCAAGAGACAGAAAACCAGGAAGATTCTTAAAACCAGGAAGCAGAGAGTTGGGGTCATGTCTTTCCTAGCAGCCCTCCACAAACCCCAAAGGTGACAGCTGTCCCATAATCTGCATGTGCAGGAAACTGAAGCTCAAGATATGATGTTTTCCCTACTTAAGGAGCTAGAAGAGCCAGCTCAGGCTTCAGCAAATGAAGATTAGAACTGGTTATAGAACAGATAGATGTTTATTTCTGGAATTGATTCCCCCTTATATTTGAGCCAGGCTTTGTTATTCTGGTCAGGTAAGTGTTGTTAAAGAAAGATTTTATTCCAAAACCTGAACACGTGCTAAATGCAGTCACTTGCTGGTGAATCAAGCACATAAATAACATGGTTTTATTTCACAGGGAAAAAAGCCCAACAACTCCCTCCCTTCCCTTGTTCTCCCCCTCCCCACACACAAAGCACTCTAAAGCCATAGGATTTTTATTCATCCATAAACAAATCAGTGGTTTAGCTCTCTTCTTGTACTGACAGGAAACGGTCTTCTGTGAACTGGAAAATGCAGCAAGTTTCTGAACAGATACATTCACATTTCTGGATTGATTTTTTATTTGCTCTGTAAGAGAAGCCTACAAATGTATTTTGGCCAAAGACCTTGGCCCTCCCATAAAGACAAAAAAAACCTCACATTGCAGAAAGTACATTTTTGGGATCTGAAAAATCACCTCTAGGTAGCTTTGTAATGACCCACTTTCTTTACAGATTGTCTGTAAGACAGGGAAGAAACCTTGTGTAAGTAGCCCTGTGCTGTCGTGCTTTGCCATGCACCATGATCACGTATTTTCAGTAATCTATCATTGAGCAAGGGTAGCAACTGACCTAGAGAAAATAAAAATGAGATCCATGTGAGAGAAAACATCTTGTTTATAATGCTCCGTGAAAATGCCTTGCAATATTCCCAGACTGGCAGCTACCCCTTTGGACAAACAGGCTCTCTAAAGAGGTGAAGACAGAGTATAGCCATAGCTGCAAACCAGAAATGTATTTCATCAAGTCATATACCAAGAAGTACCTTTGCTGTTCAACCAAATTCAACTCTTTCTAAATAAAATGACAATTTTTGCCTCATGTTGATGCAAATAGGCAGTGTTCCAGACATCTCCACTGAGAATATCATTTTAAAACTAGGCAAACAAACAAAAAGTAAAGCCTTTTGAATAGTTTTAATTTTCTAGAATTTGCCAAGGCTGCTTACTGTTAGGCTGCTCTCCCTGCAGCACTATTTTCTTGGGCACAGAGTCCAAGCCCCTGGTTTCTTCAAGCCTTCTGCCTTGTAAGCATTATGCCCATGGAATGGGCAACAATACACAATTATTTGAAACGTCAGAACGAAACAATTCTCATTTTGAGTATCAGGTGTCAACTTCTCATAGCAAACCATCTGTAACCCTTACAGCAGAAAGGTCAGAGAAGAAATATTTTTTAAAACTTACAATGACAGGAATTGTCTTTAATTCATTCAGTTTTGCATGGAGTTTTCACATCGTTTCAGAAGACCTAAGAAAGCTGTACTATGAAGGGGAAGCTTTCAAAAACATAATTCCTCCATCAGACTCTTCTCCCTACACCATCTTATAGACATATCTGTGGATTTTTCTGCTTAAATTTATTTTTAAACTTCTCAGCAGAATGTTTAGAAGTACTAGAGGTCTATGACTCTAATAATTCTACTAAAATTACTCTGGTAACTCAAATACTTTGACGAGTATTGAAGCTTAAGACAGACTGAGATGGGTTATGTTTTCCTTATGCATCTTCAGCGATACTGCTTTTAAGATTTGAGTCAGCAATAAGCAAGATAACCCATTATTTGGCAGGGGCCTGTTCCTAAGTCCTCTTTAACCAGGTACATACCGGAGCACTTCAGTGTGTAAGAAAAATCAATAGATTCTCCTAGTTTATAATTACTTGTACCATGGCATTCACGGTACTTCCCTTCATAGGACTCAAGTACTGAAAGAAGTACTTGAGTCAGCATGTACCATCATTTGGGTCAGGTTTACATTCTCCCATTGTCTTATATATGAGGTTAAATAAGAAACAAAGGGAATTAGAAAGAAAATATGGACCAAGTGTCCTGGGTTCAGCAGTAGCAGTCATTTTTCTTCTTCTTGGTAGCTGGTGCAGTGCTGTGTTTTGACTTTCAGCTCGGGAACAGAGCTGATAACAATGATGTTTTGGTTTGGCCAAGGACTTTGTGAGCCTCATGCTCTGCCAGGGAGGAGGGGAAGCTGGGAGGAAGCAGAGACAGGACACCTGACCCAAACTGACCAAAGAGGTGTTCCATACCACAGCACGTCATGCCCAGGATGCAACGGGAGTTGCCCGGAAGGGCTAGGACTGCAGGGTTGGAGGAGGTATGGGTCGGTGCTTGGTCGGGCTGGGGGGGCAAGTTATCAGTCAGCTGGTGGTGAGGTGTTGTATTCTCTTCCCTTGTTATTTCCTTTATCATTATTATCACTGGTGGTAGCAGTAGTGATTTGTGTTATACCTTAGTTACCAAACTGTTCTTACCTCAGCCCGTGGGAGTTGCATTCTTTTTAGTTCTCCCCTCTGTCCCTCCGGGAGTAGAGGGAGGGCAAGAAGGTGGGGGAAGTGAGTGAACAAGTTGTCTGGCTGGGTTTGAACCACAACACCAAGATATTAAGTCAAGAGTGCAAGACATACATTTCTTGCTGATAACAGAGTTACTTGTGCCTACTTTCGTCTCTGTATAAGCCACTCATGAGCTGCGTCAAGTCACTGGGAAAGCCTTCAGTATCAACTTCACCAATTCTACTGACAATATGTCTGTTAGTCCTTCTGTCACTATGCTATAAATTAACCTTCAAACAATATGAACAGAGTTGCACAAGATTAAACAAGTTAAAAACAAAACTAACATTTTGGTCTTATTTTTTCATGTAGAATAAATTTTAAAATATTTTAAAATATTTACTCTTCCAGTAGTTACTTCATTTCTGATCATTCAACATGACATAAACCCGAAAACCAGCACAATGTTTGAGTCTTGGCACCCAGTAGACTAAAGGAACCTGAGTTTGTTCTGCATACAATGCATAAAACAAGATACATGCTAGATCATGCTCCTAAAGTTTCCTTTTTGATGCTCATGCCCACATCTCTCCAGTGTCATGCAGATGTGTTCTCACAGGGCCAATCTGCTGTATGAACTCCTTTTCCCTTGCAGTGGCATCTTGCCTTTAAGAGCTGGCAGTTGTGCCATGCCATTGGAAGCACAATGTGGCTATGTGCAGCCTGTGGAAAGGTGGCACCATGACCATGCAATTAACAGTGACGTCCCCAGATGGCTGGGCTCCTCCTGCTCACGATTGGCACCAATTATATGTTATATGTTATATGTTATATGTTATATATGCTGTTTTTCCAGTAGGGTCATAAAACACTAATCCTGGCTGCTGATTGGATAAAATATAACTACGTCTCTCAAAAAAAAATGCTGTCACTACCTTCCAGTGGCCAAGATGAGTGACGTTAAGCTCCATCTTGCTAAGAATAAACATTGTAAAGATTCATATTCTAGGTAGGAAAAGTGTATACAGAAGGTAGAAACCAGGTCAGGTTGGTAAGAACAACCATAGCACATAGTCTAAGTACGTAACAGGTGAAATTAGAAATGCCTATATGAGATACCTAATGAGGGATATGAGTAATATCTTGTTATAATTTCTGTAGCTATATCAGTGCTAAGCAGATGATCAGTAGAGTTTTAGTCTGGTTGTTGAAGAACAGTTAATGGTACGGACAAATGGGACTGAGATCATCGTCATGTTTGCTTTCTTTTTTTATTTCACTCTTCACAACTGCAAGCCAATGACTAACACATCAGAGACAAAGTCTAAAACAGGTTACTAGAGCAGCTAACAGAATACACATGGTTGTTTTCAGATCAGCTATGCCAAAAAAAAATGTTCATCATGGAATTCTCTGGGTCAGACATTTGTCAAAAAGAGATTTGCTGTTGAGAACCTACAGAAAAGAGGAAGATGCTACAAGATTTTAAAAAGACAAACTCCTGGTTTAATTTGTGAAGGAAGAAAAAGCTGGGGGGGGGAGGGAATCACAGACTTACTTATCTTTACTTCTGCTTTCAGGGGAGAAAAAGTCTCATTAGAAAAAGAAAAGAAGAAA